GAAGACGACCGCTAGACCAATGCCTTTGGCGCGCTTGTTATTGCTGTGCCACGCGAGAACCGGGCCACCACGGTAAACGCTTCCGAGGGAGATCTCGAGGACCAGGACTGGCAAAGCGACGAAGAAGAGCGCGATCAGGTACGGGATGAAGAATTGGAGACCGTAGTTGTTATACACGACGGATGGGAAGCGCAACAGGTTGCCGAGACCAACGGCACCGCCCATGGCACAGAGAACGAATTGGATGCGGTTCGAGAACATGTCGCGTCCATCTTCGCTCTTTTTCGCCGCAGGCGAGAGCTTCATGAGGATATTCTTGATTGCAGCCATCTTGACGGCTGGGCGTAGGCAAGTAGAGAATGTGAAAAGAGGAGTTGGTCGCTCCTGATAGAGAGACGAGTCAATTCACGGCCCTAAGAAGCGAGCTGCGAGGACGAACGTGAAGTCGAACCGTAAGATTCGCGCAGTCAGACCCCGGTATATAGATTCCTACAGCCAGGTTGTTGTGCCACATATCCTGTCTCTCCAAGCATGTGCCCAGCCCAAGCAATCGCCCACCTTCCTTCTACAAACAGCACTAGTAGTGTGGCGCTCACATCCAAGGCTTCCCCAGATCCTGCGCAGAGGCTCAGCTAGCTTGGTCGTACCCTACTACTCGGGTACAACGGGTCTTGGGTGATCAGCAGAGTTGCATTGGTTGGTTCGACGAATCCTGAGTCCTCAACACCACTGCCGATTCCGAGCCAGGCGTGCATGCATCTCGGATATGGCGCTGGACCTGTGTTGGTGCCTCAGCCACGAGGGGTAGTTCTATCGTCGGGCCATTCCAGTCAGCCTTGGAATTTAGTGTACTGATCTTGGCGCGCGTTAGAGCTCGCGCACGCGACAGAGCTATGCATCCAGGTCTGGGGTAATGCTCGGGATCCGTCCATACACTGGGAGTGGGACCAGATTTGGCCGTCAGCCACGAGGGGTCCAATATGTCTTGGTTCCTAAGCGCAGTCGTCTCGGCGTGGGTTAAGGGCCACACACGTGACAGCAGGTGCATCTATATATCTGTGATGTTGCTGTGTCCGGGTGTCTTTTCGCCGGCAACACACGTCCCGAGCGATGTAAATTCCTCCACCAGGCCCATGTTCCACCCGTCGCCTTCCAGGTCTACCTGAATCTTTGGCCGTCAGCCAACTGAGATTATGGCTACGCCGAGTGATCGTTATCGTCAGAGGGCGTCCGGCTATGCGGCACATCACTGCCTTGGCGGCTTGGATGCCCAGTGTTCTGGGTCAGGCGTAAGGTCGCTCCGACCATTGTACGTGTTGGTATGGCCCTTTGGTGGTGGAAGAAGAAGGTGTTGGCGTTGATAATGATGATATCGACTCGGTCGCTTGGCTATGGTCGCAATTCGGCGGTTATCTGCGGCATGGTGGTGGTTTTCGCGAAGCGTCGCTCCTTGTGAACGTCTTCTAGAAGCGAGAGTGGTCTACAAGGAGTCCTGAATTGTCATGGTGTTGTGTGCCTCCTCTTGCTGCATTGCGTTAATCATGTGCCGGCTCGTGCCTGGGTTTTTGGAAGGGGCGTGGGAGAGGCAGCATCGTGCCTACCTAAGTTACCTTGGACATGTCGCGTTGACCAGAGGGAATCTCAATGAGCAAGCTGTTTCGATTGCGAATAATGGCGTAACTGTGGAAATTAGGACATTGCGATTTGTTATATAGCACGGAGGTTGATGGATCACTCGTAGGGCGCGCGGGCGGGAGTGGAGGCTAGCGCCGATTTCGGTGTTATCGGACCCGTCTCGGAATGAGCATGCGGCGGAGAACTCCACAACCACATGTTCTAAAACTTACCCGTTGCAAAGACATGGAGCATCTAGACATATTGGTAGACGGTCCGTATCTCATTTCGTTTCTCCAGATGGAACCAGCATTACCGTGCATGCTCTACTTCCAAGGAACGCGCATGGACAAAGCATGCCTAGGTAATAGCAACGAGATGAACTTGGTATCGAGACTACGCAAATGGAGAAGAAACATCTATCCTCGCAAAAATGAGAAGAACTGTGTAGGAGATCGTTCCGGTCGTTGCCCAATACTTAATAACACCTCAAACTCCAAACCCCAACTCTCTCAACCCCATCACCACCCTACCACCAGCCTCCTCCACACCCTCCCACAGCCCCCTCAATCCTTCATCGCTATCTCCCAACACCGGATCCTTCTCCGGTATGCCCACTTTCCACACCTCCCCCTCTTTCCCGTCATGCTCACCCCCAACAGCGAAGTCCCAAACCCCGCCATAAGGATACGCACCCATCATCATGAACTTCCCGCCGCTGATATCCACACTCTCAAAAAACCTCCTCCTCTCCGCCTCCTTCTCCTCATCAACCTCCGCCGCCCTCCCCTCCTCTACATCCTTCGGTTGGTGAAACGCCAATTCCTCGTTCCGCGGTCGCGGCAAAAAGGTTTTGTGGCTAACCCCCGCTGGGATGATGAAGACATCGCCCAGTTCCGCTTTGATATCCACGCCACCAACCTCTCCATCTCCTCTTTCACCCGGTTCGTATTTACCCTGCGACCAAGACGGGGAGTCAGCGACGCCGAAACGGATCCATGCGCCTTCGCCTGAGATAACGGTCATGGCTTCGTGGGTGGTGGAGTGGTAGTGCGATTGTATGTCCATTCCGTACTGCGCTATCCATTGTGTTTGCCAGCCATTCGATGCATAAAGGTCGAGAATCTCTCTTGTTTTGAAGTGCGGGGAGGTCACCATATCATAGAGAAGACCGGGATAGTGGAGCAGCGGGTAAGGTGAGTTAGGAATGAGGGCTGTAGGAGGGAGTTTGTACTCGTGGACTTTTGTCGCCATTGTAGGATCCGGACGAGGTAACTTTGAGTATTTTAGTTTGATGTGGAAGATCCCGCAGAACAAACGAGACAGGAGATGCCTGAACCGCCCCATCAGATTAGTCACGACGGGAGTAACCGTCGAAGTTTGGTACGGCGAGGGGCGGGGTTGAGTTTGTTGGTAACCTTGGAAGGAGTGGGGTATACTAACGGAAATACACATGGGGAAGTGCTTACCCAAATAGGAAGTAGCAGCGCGGGGTTACACGTCAGAACTATTAATGGGATGGGAGCCGAGATATCTGCACCTTTGTATTTACAATATGCCTACGCCGGACACCTGCAGTTTCGCGATATTGGCTTTACCCAAGATGCCTCGGTTGCTTTAGCTAGCTTGGAGTGCTGCTGCAATTGAATGGCAAAGTTATGATCTCATGTGCAACACAGAAGGCTCGAGCACTCCATACCTAAACTTGACTCAACTGTAGCGAGCTCACGGTGCCTTTAACTTTTCCCGACAACTTATAAGTGGAGCTAAAGAGGTGCAGCTTCAGTGCGGGTGTACGCATCCCTTGCGCAATGCTCATCTTGTGGAGGGGCACACACGCAGAGGTAGGTCTTGTGGAGTTCCTGCCTAAATACGCGCCTGCTATCCTACGCTCCTACTCCTTCCCTAAGACACTAACCTAACGCAGACGTACTGACATCTTGGCATACATCGGACGTATGAGTCTACGACGAACTCCGACCCAGCTCCATCTTCGTCGAGCCCGCCAGATAGCTCAAGTCCGCCCGTAGCGCATATCCGTCGCATAGAGCGATCAATATGGAGCCCAGGATAGCTCCACTAATTCAGCCGTTGGGGAACATTCGATGTAGCTTCCAGGGCCATGTCTTTCATCCTCGATAACCAGTTGCATCTCCTTGCGTCATAACCAAACGAGAGCCGCTTCGCTCAACTGTTAGCTCATCCAGATGCTTGGTCGTAAAGCCCGCATGTCTTGTATGAGGGCTAGTTTCTTCGGCCCGTTTGACACATTCTTTAAGCTGGTCAATGAACGCTTCCAGTTGGATGCGTGAAGGCTTCAAGAGGCACCTGGTTCGGCGGACCATTTCTGCGCGTCATCTAAAACACAAGGAGACTCTGGTTGTAGGCAACATAGCCGAAAGGTTGTTCGAACCTTATTTTCTGTGAATTTTGGCAGCTTAAAGGACCGTCTTCTGTCGTAGGGACATGGGCCGATCCTGATACCGGCAGTTCTCGTGGGGCGGCCTTTTCTCGCGCGATTTCGGTCATCATTTTGAGCGCAGCTTCGATGTTAAGGAGTGGCTTTAAGGTATGCTTTAAGACCTGGTTTCTCAATTTGGGACTTGCGCGGATTATGTAGTCGAGAGAATGTTTCCCTTCTAAATACACTCCGGCTAGTTTCGCCCATGTGATTAGATCCTTACACAGGCGTCCAGTAGCTTCGAGTGCCGGTTCGCTATTTATCGGCTTATCCAGGTCGTCGATATTGCTCCACACCTTCCCGTAGGCGGCTAGGCAGCGCTTATACATCGTCATGATAGTGAGGTTCGCATCGCCTGCATGAGTGCTCGATGCTTTGGTCGATTCGATCCAATCTTCAAGCTTCTTGTTGACGGCAGCTAGCTGACCGAACATCTCGCTCAAGGTCGGCTCGGGCCTGTTCTTCGGAATCATTGTCTTTGTCGTTGGAGATGTTAACTTAATGTCCTCTCCAGCTTCGTATCGGTACTCACCGGTATCCTCATCTTTGTCATATATATTGGTTTGGTGTACTTGCTGAATGCATGCCATAGCAGAAGGATCTCGGAAGGAATGGTGAGAGCGGAAATTCTATGCTGCTATTAATCTTCTTAAATACCTACAATGACTGTGCAGTAAGTATATATGACCAGTCTCTACTCAATCGTCATGAATCAAAAGCGTGACTCTAAGAGCACCAGACTCATTCAGAATGATCCAGAGATCTTGTCATATCTGACCCCATGATGACCAACACTGCTTGATCTCTCCGTCATACCCGTCTACATGAATATCATATACTAGCAGCAATGATTCATTAGATATAGGCTCTCTTGTATTCCCGCTTCCGCTGCTGGTCATTCTCTTATTGATGTTACACCCTTCCTTCATTGTCGAGTAACTGTTGCAGTATCATTTCCATCCTCCACAATAAAGCTGTTCGATCCCAAAGAGTGCTGCCCGATGTTCTTCGTGCGGCTCACCAGAGATTCGTTGTATTGATGGAGTACCGCCATTTGCTCTTCCAGCGTTTTCGCACGTTCCGTAAGGCTAAGGGTCGAATTCGAATTGTCGTCTGCGTCTGTTATCGCAAGATCCTCCCCCAAGACGCGCTTCTCCGGCAGTAACTCAAACATCGCTTCTAAGGCCGATTTGACGCATACGAGAGTTTCCACGATCTGATTTCGGCTCTCGCTTCTGTCTGAGTTGGCGACTTTAGCCTCCAGAGAGATTTCATCACCAAGAAGAACCCCAGCTTCACGGCCCCACATGATGAAGTCGTTGCGCGGGCCTTCGAGATGTCCGTATCGTAGCTTGTTCTTCAGATGCTTGTCGCCATCTTCGATACGCTTGAAAACTATCGTAAAGTCGGTTGCACAGCTTCGGAAAAGCGCCTTGATACCAGTTCTTGCATCCCCTTCCCTGGCGTGGATTTCGTCTTCCGGGTCGACTAATAGTTCCAGTTCGATGACAATGCACCTCAATAAGTTGACCAAACGGGCCAGACGCGCCCTACAGTCTGACTCTGGAGGCACGAGTTTATGATGTCTTTCTGCCCAGGAGTGCTTCTTGTCGTTCACGGTACCGCGCATGTTCCTCATCGTACAATCCATGGCTTCTAGAGAGTCGATAATTGATAATTTTGTAACGGAAGGGAGGGTAATAAAGGCGTACTTTGGGGTGTTCTTCTCGTACTGATACAATCCAATGTCCCTTCCCCACCTTTCCAAATGGTCGAACTCCTTCCGCAGACGGGTACGTGCCAGGTAACTGTCCGGAGGGACCTCCTCCTCCTCATCGAATTCGTTTAAGATCTTGTTGTATCTGGCCAAGTGTTCTTCTGTAAGTTTCCGGGCCTTTTTAAGGTCCGCGTCCTCATCACAGGCCGTAGAAGCAATGGACTTTTCGATGTCAAGTTGAATTTTTTGCGGCTCATTCGTCATATCGTACAGACGGGTATCGCTCGACTGCTGAGAGTTTTAGTTATTTGAATGTATGTCTTTTCGAGGTACTCGTATGAGGGAAGAGTGATGCTGCATTGCATGGTGTCGAAAAGTACGCAGTGACTGTGCCGACGATACGACTGGCCTGCGTACTCATAGCTATGAATCAAAATGGTGACTCCAGGGTCTGAGCGGCCTGTGCCTGTCTAGAGACACCCACGTATCCACCTCCTAGTCACTGTCATCAGGAACCAAGTCTACGATGAGCCACCACCCAGCTTGATCTCTCCCTCGAACCCATTCACATGCATGAAGTTCGCTCGTAACGGAGTCACACTTGTGTATCCCTGCGCGACTGCCCATCCGTCATTGCCCGGCTCACTAGCCTCAACACTCTCATACACGTCCTTGAACGTCGGCGCCCACTTGAAGTGCTTGTGTGTATACCGCATGTGCGCCTGACCGGATGGCGTCTCCCGTCCACTGTCCGTTCCAGACGCTCCACCCTGTATCTCCGAATTCGCTTTGAGTTCCTTCTTTCCGAATTTCTCCTCTTGCTTGCGGATTTGTCCCTCGATGTCTGATGGCGTGTCGTCTGCTTCGGAGGGCACCTCGACGACCTGGAAACAGCTTCCGCTCTTCCACGAGTTCTGCAGCATGTTCGTCCAGAGGATCTTGCGCTCTCCCACGTTCTCTACTAACGGTACGTTGACGGTGTAGAGGTGTGTGTTTGTGTCCCAGTTGTCCCACAGGTGTTGTATGAGTTTTGCGCTGAGCTCGCTGGCATCGCTGATGATCTTAGCGTCGTGGTTGCGGTCGAAGAACGCGTACGAGAGGGCGATGGACTTCATGCCGCATACTGCTGCCTCCATCGCGCCGCCTATTGTGCCTGATGATAGAGAGAAGATGGCGGTGCTGTTGCGACCGTAGTTCGGGCCGCTGACTACGAGATCGATCGGGCCGCGGTCGGAGAAGTAGTGGTAGAGACCGATCTGTACGCAGGACGCAGGTGTGGAGTCGACGAGTACCCATTCTTCTTCATTGGATGAGGGCGGCAGAGGCGAGTTATGGGTTGTGCCATGATTCGTGAGACGTCCTTCGGCGTTGGTTTGGAGGGGCGCAGGGCGGTAGTACGTCGGTTGTATCTGTGGCAGTGAGTATGGCGAGCGGCGTAGTAGAAGTGGTGTGTCATACCGACTTGCCCACAAGATGTGCCTTGCCTATCCATGACCGCTGGGTATGTGGGAGAACGACTGAAACGGTGTGTCCATGCTTCTGCAGTGTTGACACCAGCGAATGTACGTATGGTGAGGACTGGTCTGATGGTGGGCCATCGTCGTTGGTAACCTAGATCGATCAGTACTTGCCATTGGCTTAGTAAGATACGACAGTCTTACAAGAATATGCATGATTGCTTATGTGGACAGTGCAGCGGGTTCTGGCGATGCTGTGTTGTGGATTGGAGATGGAGATGCAGAGGGGCAGACAGTGACGTGCGCTACCAATAAGTCCGAAGCCCGTGGCAGGCAGTCACCGCCTCATCCTTCGCGTCAACACCTCTGCGCTCCCATATTTGTTTTCGCATGGCCGTTTCTTCGACAGAACGGTTGCAAACGTCGTCCGCGAACGCTGCAGGGCAATGGCAAAGTCCGTCAAACTGGCAGTGGTACCTGCGCCATGGGTAGATCCGCTGATGCGCCCTGCATCGTGCCGACGATCAGAGCTTAGCTGCGAAGAAACTCGAACTTCGACGTCGCACCTGATAGCAGTGTAAACGCTTATGAACAAAACCGATGGTATGAATAGAAGAGCTTGCGACGCCGGACTTCGTCTCGCATCTCCATGGCAGATCTGAACACCCTCATTCGGGGGTTAACCATGGCCCCTCCCCCTTCCGACGTCCGCACGACAGCCGGCACTTCATCCACGACATTTCGAAACGGGAGTGCAGAGTCTACCGGCAGGTTTAGCTGTGTGTAGCTAAAACGACCAGAGCTTCGGGCGCGAAGGTGTAGAGCCGCAGGTCCCTGAAGCAGCTATTTTCGGTGTTCGTTTCTTCGGATCCCCGCCCGTGCCCGCATACCGTGAACACCATTTGTTTCAATGCTGAGACTGAACACTCAAGATTTTTATAAAGAGGCAGCGCAAGATGAGAAAGGTAATCAGTATACCCAGTCCATCTTCACCCACCACTTCAACATCTTCAACCTCCCTACCTTGAAGCTATATATTCCATCATCCACCGTCCCATAATCATCTAGACACCAACACATCATCAAGATGGTCATCAACGTTCCCACCGCCTCCCTCGAGGGACAAGTCGCTCTCATCACCGGTGCCGGTCGCGGCATTGGAAGGGGTTGTGCTATCGAGCTCGGCAAGCGCGGCGCCTCCGTCATCGTTAACTACGTTTCATCCGAAGGCCCAGCGAACGAGGTTTGCGAAATCATCAAGGGCTTCAACAACGGTGCCAAAGCCGTAGCCATCAAGGCGGATGTCAGCAAAGTCAGTGAGATCAACAGACTATTCGAGGAGGCGAAGAAGGCATTCGGCAAGATCAACATCGTCATGAGCAACTCAGGAACCGAGAGCTGGGACGTAACAGAGGAGATCAGCGAGGAGAAGTACGACCACGTATTCAACCTGAACACAAGAGCGCAATTCTTCGTTGGCCAAACCGCATACAAGCACATCGAGGATAACGGCCGCATCATCCTGATGAGCTCCATCGCTGCCGGTCTGCTCGGTGTCAAGGACCACGCGCTCTACAACGCCTCCAAGATGGCCGTCATCGGTTTCATCAAGGCCTTCGCAACCGACTTCGGAAAGCGCGGTATCACCGTCAACGGTGTTGCACCAGGAGGTATCAAGTCGGACATGTTCACACAGAACGCCTGGCATTACATCCCCGGCGGTTCGCCTGACTGGCCAGCGGAGAAGATTGAGACGCTCATGGCAAACCACTGCCCGCTCGGAAGGTGCGCAGTACCTGAGGATGTTGCGAGGGTCGTCGCTTTCCTCGCATCAGCGGACGGTGGCTGGGTCAACGGTCAAGTGCTGACCATCTCCGGTGGATCATCGCAGTAAGCTGAGACTGAGGTGGTGATGATGAACGAATGACGGTCGCATTGTATGGATTCCAGCGCATTTGATAGAGAGCCCAATTCGAGGCCATCGCTCGAACAAAAGAATGAATCATAACAAGATTACTTGATGAGTTTCCCGCGTGTGCCAACTCTCAAACTGTGTGTCGTGATTAAGGTCTGTGGGCGCAACCTTGGAAGGCTCCACATACCCTGCCAAGACTTACGTCACCAAACGCGATTAGGCAACGCCATCACGTGGTTCGATCTGCCCGGGCACCTGGGCACTCATACAAAGAAAAAAAAACTAAACAGGCCTGCAGACTACATCAAGACAAAGACCTGCAATGTAGGTGGCCCAACGTCAACGTAGGCTCTAGGGTGTTCAGGTTTTTCCCAGGTTAGCGTGCGCGCATACCTACTTTACACACCCTACGACCTGTATTAGGACGTACTTTGGTGGACTGACGAAAATTAAGCGTCTGCCATGAACAGGATCTTGTCATTCGTAGGGGATTTCGACTTAGCCCAGCACGGTGGACCTTTCCTATAACCACGGTACTGCGGTGACACGCCGAACACCCCAGCAAACAACACCAAAGCTATCTCAATCATGTCGTATACCAAAGCACACTCTTAATGACTAGTCTAAGCTGAGACCAGGCTGCAGTCTGAATTAATTGCGCGCTCTATTCATTCCAGACGTTTCCCTCATCGCTTCCATAGGAACTTCAAACTACCAGTAAGAAGACGGCAGTTTGACATCCGACCACACAACCAAAGTTTGAAATTCATGTAGGTCATGCGAGCAGAATTTTATGTGATAATTTTGTAAGAGACTTTCCCCTATAAATACTCTCTACTTCTACTTCATACCTATTCATCTCACAACTCACAAACACCTCTCTCGGTCACCACCACTAAGCAAAACTGCCACAATACATCCGCAATCTCAAGCAATCAAGAACAGAACCCCTGTTCTTTCATCATGTCGAACTCCAAGCTGTCTAAGTGCAGCCTAAGCGATTTTCCCGAAGAACTCCTTTGCGGAATCCTAGACGAAGTCGGCTCCGGCATCGATGAAGAATACGTCCCCGGCACCATACAGACTCTCCTCTCTCTATCCGCTACCAGCCGCCAGTTCAATCGACTCACAGAGTCTTACCTCTACAAAACCATCAAGACCGATCACTTTCGTTGCAGAAAGCTCGTTCAGCGTCTAGAGGACGATCCCACTCTAGTCTCGCATATAAAGCGACTCGTTTGGGACAAAAAGCCAAGCGAAACTCCAGGATGGTACAGAACACTGCCACAAACTTTCAGTGCACCAAATCTCGTACGGGAATTCAACATTTCCAACATTGGGGCGTACTGGGATTCTGGCGGCTGGATGGATAAATGTGCTGCACTGACTCTGGTCTTGCTGCTCACTCCACGGCTAGAAGCCTTGGAGATCATGGACACGGGCCTCCGATTTCGCATGAGCAACGGCGAATATGGGCCATCTTTCTGGTTCAAGCTGAGACGATACCCCGGTCCCAAACTCGCCGAGCGCTTCGCCAACATACGTACGCTACGATTTGGCCATCAAGACATGGATTTGGAACCGCTTTTGTATGCCCTTCGATTACCAGCTTTGCGTACACTAAGCTTCAAAGGCGAGCTCGTGGATAAAGACAGATTCAAATACGGAGTTACGGGAACGGGGAATCTCCTGGCACGATACGCACACCTGGCAACGATCCCGCCCCGAAGCTCACCTATCGAACATCTCCACATCGAGAATAGCGCTATTCACTCGAAGCATGTCACCATGATCCTGCGCTCTATCAAGGATCTCAAAGACTTCAGCTTGACGTTCGCCGGAACCAGAACCGAACCCTCAATAAGCAGAGCCATCTACGAACACAACGGATACGGAGTACCAGCGTTACACTACCCCACCCTACTTGGAGCTATCATGGAGCATCCAAATCGATGGAGAGCCTCACTCTACAGACCAACCTGTCGCACGAGCCTAACATATACAATACAGCTGCGGCAGGATGCCTACGATTGGAACAAGTCCGCAACCTTGGGTACCTTAGAACGGATATAGTAACCCTATATCGCGACGAAACAACGAACCCGGACCGGCAACAGCACGAAATCTTCAACTCCCTTCCGCCTGGTATACGTCGGCTTGACCTCGATATGTACGAACCAACATGGCCGTACTTTAGGTGTCCGAAGGCTGCACTGATGAGTCTAGCTATGGACTGTGCGCAGAAGTATCCGCTACTTAAAGGGGTACGTGTGTTGCGACACACCACACATGAATCGAAGTTGTGGAGGGCGTTTTCGAAGGTTCTTAAAGAGGTTGGGAATGCTTTCGAAGCACAAGGGGTATCTATTCGGTTCTGCCCTCGCACCAAGCAAGCCAGCACTTCAGGTGACATGTACACTCCGCTGAGGAAAAGCAAAAGTGTCTAATCTAAAGTATTCATTGGGTATATAAAGACGCGCGTTCCACGCTCGTTGTTCGTTCGCAGCCTGCCTGCTGGAAGCAAGGCTTGCTGAACCATCTATGGACTAGTATACAAAAAGCCAATCATTCCTCATGTGTTCGTGCCGTGTTATTGCAAATCGCTAAACGCCGTTAAAGTCACAAAGTGTGACAAGGGGTATGCAGAATCGTGAACGCCGTGAATGTCCCTCAGCCTCAAACCGTGGGCTCTTCGGGTGTTTTCCCCATATCCTCCCTCTCGTCCTCTGGGCTCTTGGGCTCAAGCTTGATACTAGCGTCTAGGATTTTGCTCGTGACTTCGTTGATATCTGCCTCCTTGTTGGCAGCGCCAACGACTTCCTCGATCATGGCGGCGAAGTCGACAGTCATGCCACCGACGTTCATCTTGAGTAATGCAGAGGCATCCGGACCGGCATTTCCGTCAACACTTCCGCGTTTAGAGCCGTTTTCCATGTCCAACATCATGGTCTCGTTGTCGAATATGTTATCGCCACTCCACAGGCCCACAGTAGAAGTGTTGGGGTCTTCGTAGAGGTCAAAGCCCAGTCCGAGTGAGCCGTTCTTCGACGGCGAGCTGCTCACAGGCATGTCACTGGACAGAAAGTCATCAGCCAGGAACTCGCTAAACTGAGCATCACTGCGACCGGGTGTTGTAAATGTGGGAAAAGCCGAGAAGTCGATAGTCTGGGAAGGCGACGAGATCGGGTGGTCGGATAGAAGCGCATTGAGCTGGCGGGTGAACGGTGTGTCAGGTGCAGCTGTTGTCGAACGGGTGACACGAGGACTCAGGATATTGCGGGATGGCGTTGAAGGCGCCTCTCCGTTCCCTGCACCTCGTCTCGGCGTCAGAGCAACACGTTTGCGCGTGCTTGGAGTAGGGGTCTTTAGAGGATCTTGGGCGATCTGGTCCCTCTTAGGCGTGCTTTTTGGCGTAGGTTTCCGAGAAGCAGGGTCTTCAAAAAGGTGTGCGAGATCGTCTGTCTCTGCGGCAGGAGGTGGTGGGCAGTTCTCCTTATCCGGATTTTCTTGGTCGACGATGGCCACTTGCGCCACTGGCTGCTTGAAGTACCACATAGTCTTTGACTCGCACGGAATGCAGCCGTCGTGTCCTATACCAGCGTTCGCGCAACGTCCACACGGTCGTTCGCGGTCACAGCCTCTCTTAAGCTCCTTGCATCGCTGGCAACGGGGCTTCTTGGGTGCGTCATCGTCAGGGACATACATTGGGGTGGCAATTGGAGCCGCAGCGACGGGGGCTGGAGGTGGGTCGGCTAGCGTCTTACGCCGACCTTGTTTTCTAGGTGATGGGAAAAGTAGCCGCCTTGTAGGCTTTGGTGTAAGGTCTTGGTCAATGTCAATAGGAGAAGTTTTGCTCCCTCTAACGCCAGCGGGGCTTGACTCAATGGCTCGCTCGAAGGCAGCTTTAGCTTCTTCAGGGTCGAGCTCACCCCTGCTGGGTGCGACAGCTGGCGGTGCCATTGTTCCATCAACGGGCCTGTCAATGGATGAAGCAGCTTGATCTTGCTCAGCTGGTATAGCAGCGTCAGACTCTGGCATCATGGCGTCGGACATGAGATCATCACCACCAGTCATAGACTTGGAGCGTGACCCCGCCTTCTGCTGCCTCTTGCGATTGGCGAGACGCGCAGCACGATCCCATACCTTCTGCGGCCTCATCGAAAACTTCTTGATAAGCCAGAGTCCGCATGGGTTACAGAGGTTGAGTTCTTCAAATGCCTCAGAAGACTTCGCAGCCATGATGTCCTTGTCTTCGCGCGTCAAGTTGTTCTTGAAGATACGGTACTTCGGCTCAGCGTCCTCAGAGGATGATTCAATCACTTCGTATGCGATGATGTCGGTGCTAGCAGTATCGGTAGACAGCTCAATGTCCTTAGGTGTGCCATTCTCTACGCGTGTGTAGGCCTTTCTCCATGTGACTGTATCGATCTCTCCGCAGTTCACACAGTGTGGTGGCATTTCGCCTTTCCGAATAGCCGCGTCCAGCCGGTCTTTGATAACCCTCTTCCTCTTCGCGCCGGATCCACTTCGTGGGTAGCCACACTCGGAGGGCGTGGGCGCATCAGACATGGGCTCTGCTCCAGACCATGTATGTGATCTTGGAAGTCCTCTCGGCTTGGACGGCTTTGTCTGCTTCGGTGGGAGATTTGGGGTAGCGGAACGACTGTAGACTTGCGCTTCGCTCTCGGCAGTCGGAGAAATGTGTGACATCATGCCATCAGGCGAGCCGGCAGTCGATACCGTGGCTCGTGACTTCTGTAAAGCGTTCTTGTCCTCGAGGTTGTCATCCTGCTGTACCATGGACAGCCTCGCGATCAAATCGCTGTCATCATTCGCGTCGTTGCCTTGGAAATAAACCGAGTTGAAGATATCCTGGTCCATGGTGTCGAAGTCAAAAGTATGAGCAGTCATGTCCATCTCAATACTTTGCGTGACTGGCTGTGTGACAGATTCGCGACGATGATCCTGGGATTGTCCATTCCAAAGCTTTTCAAAATCCATACTATCGCCGTCTCGACTAGCCGGCATGTCGCTAACGAAACCGGAATCGTTTGGAGGTTGTGTTGGGAGGTCAGGGCTTGAGGCATCGGGCGATGTGGTTCGGACTGGTGCGATTGGCGGGGATGACGGCATCGGAGTATCTCCTGGGCTTCCATCTCTTTCATCTGCAGACTCCATCGCATTGTCTGAGAAGACGCTACTCTCATACGGAGACACGTATGGTCGTCCTCCATCCATGGATCCATGTCTTAAAGCACTAGGGGCGGGTGGTCGGCGTGATCCTCGTTGACTAAACTTTTCACCGGGGCGAGGCGTTGGCGCACGGGGCACCATATCTGAGGCGGCTCCTGAATTGCTGAGAGAAGGCTTGAGTAGGCGGACGGATGCCGCTGTGCTCGCTGTAACGCGCAGCGAATCGTTGTGGGCGTTGAGCGGTGTATTCCTCGGTCTCGTGGTCTGCGTAATCCGTGCCCTCTTCTTCGGAGGTCCGTCTTCCTGTGGCTCGATGACATAAGGATCGCTAAACTGGAACTGCTGAGTCGGCTGTGCACCTTCACTTCTGACAGAGGTCCGTGACGCTGGTCGGGAGGGTGGATTGTACTGATAGTGATGGAATGAGAGAGTGCTCATAGCAGGACTGGAAGCCCTAGTCGGCTGAGACATGAACGACATGTTCGACTGATCGTAGAAAGAGTCGTTCCGGGGTGGCTCTTGTGACGGGCTTTGGCGAGTAAGCATCTGGTGGAAGGGCTCAACACCACCAATGGAAGGACGTGGCGAAGGCTGTGCGGGGTATGGGCTGGGTTGGGCCAGGTGACCCAATGCAGGGTTCTCCTTGAGAAAGTCGGACCAGGCGTTGTAATCGAACCCTTCAGGCATCAGCTGACTGAGGCTGTGGTACCGCTCCATGTTCTCGACATATTCCTTTTGCATGCATGTCGGAACAGGCACCAGCTTCAGTTTGACCTCCAGGGTTTCCTTGATTCCGTTCGAAAAGATGCCAAGAATGTTCTTGCACACGCGACCGGTGACCATGGTTTGGGAATCTTTGGCGGGGGCATTGGGAGTCGGCGATGCTGAAGCGAGGATCCATGATAGCATGCCCTGACCAACCAGCGGCGTTTCGTACTCGGAGAAGTCGTAAGCGTATACGGTGTAGTCGTGGCCTAGTTTGGCTACGAGCTCGGGGCTGTGACAGTGAGCAAGCTGTTTCAATTAATCAATAAGCGCAGGAGTCGGCCCACCTTGCAGTCACAATAGCCTGAATGCAGGTCTTGAGTTCGATGACTCCCACTTCGGTGGTCTCGTCCAGCGATACGACAGGCACGTTCAGCACGCTTGGCAGACGGGCCAGGCAGTTTGACTTGTTCTGATCATCGAACGTGTAAAGTACTTTGACTGTGGTGCAGCTGTGTTAGATCAAGTCGTGATGAATGAGCAGATGTGCTTGCCTCGCATTTGCCTGCGCGGGATTTCGTCCATTGTGCTCTCCTCGGCAGCGGACGGTGTGGGCGCGTGCTGCATCGCACCAGGATCCGGCGTGGTACTTGAGGGCGTCGACATGGCTGCCTATGAGATTGACAAAGGATAGGCGGGCCGTGATGAAGAAGAGAGAAGAAGGTTGTCGGGGGCGACGGGGTGGTCTATGTTATATCGCGATCGGTGGCTGGCGTGCGATCATCGCGAACGCGTTCGAGGTGAACTAAGAAGCGAGACTAAAAGCGACAGGAAGACGAATTGGCGGGGTAAACGGGTCTTTAAATATTTTCGCGTGTAGATAAATCCGAATTAGGCAACAGCACGCGTAAAGTGGCAGAGAGAAGGAACGTAGAGGGCGTCGTGAAAGAGGTCGTGTGGTGAAAGTGAAGTTGCATGCACGAGCTCGGAGGTTTGACGCTACCCGCTTCGCGCTAACGCGGGGAGGACAAAGACGCGTGACGCACCTTCCGTGCCAAAGTTTCAGCCCCACTCCCGACGCGTTGATTGGCTTCGACCGCGGATAAAGTGTAGCTCCAGATCCGATTCTGCCAAGCTCGCTCACTTCATCGCCCTGCCTCATATCGTCGCCGACCGATCCACCTCATCCAAGCGCGTTGCCGTGGTGTTCCTCCTTTCTAAAACTAGGTCAGTCTTTCCGCTCCTGGTCTGTGCATATCTTTTGCGCGGCCCCATCCTTGCGCGCTACTTCCCTGAGCAGCGTGTATCAAAATTCGCAGGCAGAAGCTCGAGAGCTGGAAAGTTAACCTGTAACAGTCCCAACCCCATATAGCAAATCCCCCCCTGCTACCTTGCACAAAACGACACCATGGTGGACGCAAAGATTCAGTATGTATTACTGCTAGCACATTCACCGCTATATGAGCTAACCTTGCGCAGAGAGCTTCTGTCCAAGCCGCGTTCGGAGTTGACGTACGTACACCCTCCAATCCACAACAGTTCCTGTACTGACATTGCTGCCTAGCGAGTACGAAGTTGCTCAGGTCGAAGAACACGAGCTCACTACCGGCCCCCTCTCCATCCTCCAGACCGCCGTCCGCTCGCGCACACAAGTCCTGATCTCGTGCCGAAACAACCGCAAGATCCTCGCACGTGTCAAGGCTTTCGACCGTCATTGCAACATGGTTCTCGAGAACGCGAAAGAGATGTGGACCGAGACTCCACGGTTAGCCAACGGCAGCTACGGAAGGAAGGTCAACAAGGACCGCTTCATCTCCAAGCTGTGCGTTCAAATTACACTCTACGTTTGCGCATGCGCTGACTTTTATAGGTTCCTACGCGGCGACTCGGTAATTCTTGTATTGCTATCATAAGAGCTTGGAAGGACTGGGGATTTGGGACGGTAGCGCCAGATCGAGCGCACGAAATGGAGTTGGAATGAATTAAAAGTTACATAACCGTCGCGAAATCGGCGAGGAACACCGAACGAATCAAACAACGATACCCCAACTTCTACTTCTTCAAACCGTCACTCAGGCCCAGTAGGAGCTCCGCGAGGCCATGCGCGCCAGGGTCTGGAACCTCTTGGAAACCCTCGCCTCCAACGTAGACCGTTCGCCCCAAGCTCGCTTTCATACCCTTCGTCCCTTGCGCGCCACCTTGTGCCGCCGCAGCCGCTTTGTCGATACTTTCCGTCTTAGACAGCGTCTCAACGAACGGATAGAGGGCATCCATCAGCGTTCGGTCACCGGGTTTGGCAGGAGTGTATTTGCCCAGTGCCTTGAGCGATGAGTCAAGGGCCTTGGCCCAGATTGCGGGTGTGACAGGCTGTGGCGACGAGGGCGCGTTTTGTCGCAATCCATGCGCCAGCGCATTCAAGAAGATGGCGTAGATTGCACCTGACGTGCCGTCCATAGCCAGTTCCACCACTTGAATGATGTGATTCATGAGGATCAGCAGATCATCTGTCTCCTTTGCCGTTTCGAGCATCTTGAGAATTGCTGTTGGGTGTCAGCGCCAGGCATCAATGCACACGTGATGATAGCCTACCTTCTGCGCCGCGCTTGAGTCCGATTCCGCAGTCGCCATCTCCAACTATTGTGTCATATCGGGTGACGTCTGGCTCAGCCTTGATGAGTCTGTTCAGCGCAACTGTCAAGGTTGACTTGGCCTGAGCATAGTTGACTACTCAAGTTAGCGGGTGTCATACGCAGCTCTGCAGGTACTTACCTCTCAGATCACTTGGCTGGATGTCCTCTTCGTCTACCTGCTCCTCGCTTTTCTTCGCTTCGCCGCGTCTCGCCCATGTGCTGCTACTAATCGCCGCAGACCAGCCACTTGCCTCAGCAGGCGCATCGAGCAGCTCGAGCATGGAAGCGTCCGCGACTCTAAGCAAGCTGATGGAGAAGCCCAGTCCGTTCAAACTGGTCATGAAGGTGCCAGCTAGAATACGTACTGGCTTGATCTTGAAGCTGTCTGCGAGTTGCTCGACGACTTCGTTCGTGATCCCGCTTAGCTCGAGTGGACTGACACCTCCCAGGTTATTGACCAGTAGCACCACGTCGTCCTTGTCGGTGATCTTGGAGAAGCTTCGGTCCTGATCGGCGACGTCCAAGCAGTGCGACAGCATCGTCTTTACAAGACCAGGTAAATCGATCTTCTTGCGCTCTGAACCGGCTTCATTGTGGATGCCCATTCCAATCTCGACTAGGCCTTCAGCCAGCTCGTCTTCCTCTGCCTCTCGGCGACCTGGCACGTGGACGTGAGCCAGTGAAGAGCCGATCGAGACGGTGTTGTCTGCAACGAGCTGGGCCATCTGCGTTACGTCTTTGAGACTCGCTCTACGCTGACGTCAGTGATCATCGTCCTGACAGGCACGATATTGGTGCGGTCCGTACCCTTTAGCAGCGAGCGCTCCAGCAATCTTTTGAACCAGCACTGTTCCGGCAATACCTCTGCGCCCGACTTTTCCTCCCTTTGCGCGCCCTACACCCGCATCGTCGCCGACCACCACCATGTCGACTTCAATACCAGCAACGCGCGCTTTCTCCACCGCCATGCCGAAGTTCAGCACATCGCCAGTGTAGTTCATTACAATCACGAGGACGCCCTTGTCTTTTTGAATGCGATGCAAGATACATCTTCGCACCTGCTCTGCACTTGGCGAAGCGAAGATGGTACCTGCGACTGCTCCGGATAAAAGGCCCGCGCCGACAAAGGATGCGAATGAGGGTTCGTGACCACTACCACCTCCGGAAACTATGCTGACTTGCGATGCGCCATTCTTGCGGTAGACGATCTTGTTGTTGATGTCGCATTGTACGGATGGGTTCGTCTGAGGGATGCTGAGCAGCGCGGTGTTGACGAGGTGTGTCGGGTCGTGGATGAAGTGTCTCGCTGAGTACGTTAACTATTTGATCGCATAGGTTTTGATGGCAATGCATACATGACATTGTGATTACTATATGTCCAGCTCAATGGAGTGCGCGAATTGGTGCAGAACGACGGAACACAGAGCGGATGGAAATCGCAAAAGTGGCATGACGAAAGACCAAGAAACCTTCAATACCCGACCCGACGACAAGCAATCATTCCACCATTCCTTCGTGTCATTTGACATATGCCGACATAGCCTGTGGCCACACGGAAACGCGTCCGCGTTCCGTCTTGTTTCCAGGCATTTGGAGAGCTCCAGTGCTCTAAGTGGGGTTGCGCAGATGCGTGAGGGGTAGCTTCGCGTTTCTGTGGGGTCGCTCCTTCCCCCGAACCCCGAGATGTCAGCAAACATAGGTGCCGGCTTCCTCTTCTGGGTGATCCCGTACCAAGTTTCGGTCTTCCGACCACTCCTACACCAAGCATCGACGACTACGAAAAGCCTCATATGGGACAGGTCCGGGGGCTGGAGCTCTTGTATGCGGCCATGCTTGCTTTTTCGCTCTCGGTACTCGACGATCGGACCTCACCTATGTGCCCAGAGCTCATTACCCAACAATACGACATTGGGCATGAATGACCGATTGCCGCCGTGATGATCGTCAACTGGGCACAAAGCCCTTGCGTTTATGAAGGAGATGGCGAGACGCACTCATTCCTACCATTTGGTCGCCATCGCAGGTATGGGACGGTGCCCAGAGTGTTAATAAATGGCACACGCCTTGAGTGCCTCAGCCATCGACTGGCTATGGTACCTTCGCTACCACGAAGTTTGTGCGGAGCCACATGAACTCGCACACACACACCTGAAAGAATCTCAATATCTAATGTAGCCTCACACGTACAGTCACTACTTGCCTCCCTCAGCAATCATGTCTCAGCTGTCCATTTCGTGCGCTGAGGAACGTTACAAAATCAATGCAAAGAGAAGTCCACTATACGCCCTTCCTTACGATGTCCTAGCCCATATCCGGGGGTACTTGGATCACACCGAGAAGATTTGCTTTGCGCTGTCAGGCGCCAAGTTCATCGAAAATTTCCCATCCATCACTGTTCCAGAAGATAAAGTCGGCGATACCAAGATCGACGTCTATCTTCGGCTTCTGAGAGACGACTTCTACAGAGAAGCCCACAAACGACCGGGCATCTGGTGCGTCTATTGTGCAGATGTCCATAAAGATACGCGCTTCATCGGGAAAATGCTCTGTCGCCCACGGCAGGAACGCAAATGCTCCTCTACACTCGAGCTGTGCTCGCACAGGTCTTACTCTTTGGACTACTTGAGAGCTGAGGTAGAAAGAGCTGTATCTCTTAGGGGTAGAAAGGCCATGTACCTTGATCTCCAGTGCTATACTTGCGAAACAGAGTTGAAGAAAAGCCACATCTACCTCACCATTTGTGACGTCACATACGATCAGACGTCTGGAGACTATATCATGAGAAGTGACATGACCATGGGCTTTTCGAAGGCAAAAGGCTCGGATTTACACACAGAAGCGCGTGCGGTCCTACAAACACTCGATTTTACGGCGTGTCTTCACATACATACCTCTGAGGAAAGCACCATGAACCGGCTTGTCGATGCCGAGACCAGAGCCTTCAAAGCAGAAAAGCGGCACAAAACCCATCGCGTACATTGCGAGCATTGTAAAACAATGGTACAAATCAAATACGTCAAATCCTTGTGTTTTTCGCCTCACAAGCCAGGAGCAGCAGCAGCGGAAACCGGACTGAAGATAGATATTATACGTAACTTGGGCAAATTGACAAACGAAGACGATCCGACATGGAGAGCGCATCTTCGAAAGCGGCAATTGAAAGTCACAAAGGATCAAATACCACGATGAGAGAGTGGAAAAGCAAGAGCTACATGCATGGCCTGCCAAGATCGGGGCTCGCGGAGTATTATCGGCGTAGACGCTTCGAAGCTACCCCACCATCTGATAAGATTCTGATCTACACCCCCACCAACCCGTCGCGTCGAGCTTCAGCGCCAGGCCATCGCGTCCTCACGCCAGTCATCTCATCTCCAAATTCCAACGTCGCGTCCGGCAGCTTCAGAAACATCACCTTGCGACTCCACTCACCGCGTCCTATCTTCTGCAACAGAAACACATCGCGAAGATGGCGCACCCAGGCACCGCCCATAAATACACCAAAGGCCTCATCGCGTTCGAGCACGCCTCCCCTTCCTCCCCTTCCTCCCCACAACCACACACCATCCTCTGGATAGGCGGCCTAACAGATGGTCTCCTCACCGTTCCCTACCCCTCGCTCATCGCGTCCTCCCTTTCACCAACCTGGTCTCTCGCCGAAGTCCTCCTCACCTCCTCCTACAGCGGCTGGGGCACCGGAAGCCTCGCGCGCGACGCAAAGGAATTAGGGGAATGCGTGGCATATTTTAAGGCAAGGCGGCCGGGGAAGAAAATTGTGCTCATGGGACATTCAACGGGGTGTCAAGATATCATGGAATATTTGCTGGGGAAAGGAAATGAGGCGAGGGAGAAAGTGGATGGCATAATACTGCAGGGTGGTGTTAGTGATAGGGAGGCATGGGAAGATTACTACAAAGAGGGAGAGAGAAGAAAGCAGCTTGACGATGCGATTGCGATGGCTAGAAAAATGGTGGATAAGGGGAAGGGAGAGGAAGTCTTGTCGCCGGAGAGTAATCCTGTGATCAAGGACATGGGCGGCCCTCTTAACGCATATCGCGCATACTCCCTACTTGCAAAGGGTGGTGACGATGATTACTTTTCGAGCGACCTTTCCGACGAACACTTCAGGAACACGTTTGGCAGGATACCAGACACCACAACGGTAATGTTTTTACTAGGGGCTGAGGACCCGTATGTGCCCGCAAGTATCGATCGGGCGGCTCTACTTGAGCGCTGGACAAGGATAATACGGGAAGGAGGTGGATTAGTAAACAGTATAACTGGTGGTGTGGTACCGGGTGCTCATCATAACCTTGATGGGGATCCGGAGGAGGTTGTGCAGGATCTGGTAGGAAGGGTTGTTGGGTTTGTTACGGCGTTGGGTCTGGAAGTGACGTGGAATATTTAGTGGTGTTGGATCTTTGGCTGGGATAGGGTCTCTGCAGTGGACAAAGGACTAGGAGCAGCGGTTTTGTACAATTGAATGACAATGTAGACCTCTGTGCTTCGAAATTTCAAAAAAACATGAGAAACGCTATTCTTCAAAGTAATGTATTACCGGGGCATGCTGACCACGCACACCACTGCCTCTCGGTCATTCCCTACTCAACGATATCTAGCTTTTGGTATCCCCATCCCATCCCAACCCATAATCCGTTAATTCATCCTATCCCCGACCCAAAAGCAAAGGAATAGAGCATCCAAAGCCCCGCCCATTCAATCAAACGCCCACGCAATGCAAAAACAGCCCATTCCATCTCGCGCCACACTCAGTCAAACCCACTCCTCCACTGTTTCCCCATAAGTTTTTTGGTTTGCGTCGCAAAGTAATGCTTCCGTCTTCGCTCTCGCTCTGCTGGGTCTCGCTCTGCTCGGTCGTCTTTTTCTTCTTCAGCTGGTAATACCTCGGTATCCTAAGCCCCCGGTATACCACCAGGCTCCTCGAAAACAGCCTGCACAACCCATTGCTCACCAAACTTGATCCCCTTCCCACCACTGATACCAGCGTTACGCCAAGGGCGATTAACACCGATATCCACGATCCAGATAAGCCACTGCGGATCGCGTCCGGAGCCATTTTGCAGCGCTTTAACAAGACCAGTCCGTGGCGCACCGAGACAGACAATGTACTTCGCGCGGACTTCGAGGGGCTCGCCCTCTAGGATGGAGACTTCGCCTGTCGAACCGCCGACGCCGGATGGTGTTTCGACAGCAAGGCAGGCGGCGCGCGATTTGTTGGCCCAGCCTACGATGTTCAGAACTACGCGTTGGTCTTGGTCGCCAAGGGCTTCAAATTCTTTGTGGCGGCCGAGCAGAGCATCAATAATAAGTTCCGGTGGTGCTTGAAGACGCTTTAGGGCTTCTTCTGTAGCATTCCAGGAGCGGACGGTGCCGCCGAATTTGCGGAAGAGCTCGACTTGGCGGCGTATGTCCTTGTCCCAGTCTGCGTTGCGTTCGAAGCCGAGGAGGGCGACCATAACTTTTGGCCCGCGTTGGGCGAGGTGCCGTGCTGCTGCTACTGCGCGTGCGCCTCCGCGGTGGTTGCCTGCGAGGACTACAATAACGGGGTTGGCGTTTGGATTGGCGCGCGAAAGACGCATGCCTCCGGGATTTATAGCGGTCAGAGCAACTTCTGCGATACCTCGTCCTGAGTTCTCTGCCATGATGTCCTCGTTGAGGCCGAAGTCTACTTCCGCAGTTTCCTCTACGGCCAGCATGGCGCCAGGAGTAATGGCGAAGCACTTGCGGTTGTTAGACACCAGTCGTAAGCAGCCCTTAGCGCTAGACTCGAGAGGTGACTCTGGTGGTGAAGCAACCCGCCCTGGCCTGGGGCTACCGGTAGCATGTGAGGACGTGTAGGGGCGGTTGATGAACGAACGGTTAGTGCGCGGCAACACGCCCGAACCCATCATATCCATGTCGGCTTGTACGCTGCCTTGCCGTGTTGGTGCCATCTTGACTGAAGCCCTGGACATTGCTCGTCTAGAGTTACGTCCGCTGCCAAAGTCTTCCTCTTCCTCCTCAGAGCTTGTGTTGGTCGTGCTTTTCAGCTTCCGATCCAACACGTTTTCCGTAGGATGGAGGTTCTTTCCGCCGTGTGTACCAGGTCTTGCCAAGCGATTGAAGCTGACCAGGCGGTCCTCGTCTGCAGTGGTGTCCTCATTCCTTATCTGATTGAACACGGTACGCTTGTCAAACTTGGAGAGGTTACTCTGGAAGTCGAACTCAGGCATGTCCTGGATGTCGGTCGCGTCTTCTGTAGCCCAGCCGTTCGTAGCTTCGAGCGCCTGTTGCCGTTTCGTTTTGCGATTCGACGCGTTCGCCGCTGCGAGACCGACTCTACCGCCGATGACTCCGGGAGTCCGCGTCTGCGGCTGTTCGGCGGCTTGTAGCATGGGAGTGTTTCTCCAACCATTGCCTTTGCTAGTATATGTTAGCTCCCGGACATGCGACAAAGGACATGTAATTCAGAATCCCACATACCCTTTCTTGACCGCCTCAACGTCACCGTTCTTCCTCTCTTGAGCGGCAAGTTCCTTCTTACGAGACTTGCCCCCTCTTCGAGTCTTCTTGCCATTGTCGTCGTTCTTCTGCGGGCTGGGGTCATCCATAGGCTTGCCAGTCCTCGTCTTGGTGATGCTTGCCCTTCGCGCATTCACCTGTGCTGTCCGCGCCTCACTGTCCGCCTCCTCAGCATCCGCAATATCCAGTGACGAGAACGGACCTTCCAAAGTCGCAGCACTCGGCTTTCGGGCGTTGTGTTGCTTCGCATGGCCTGCAAACGAGGACGTGTTCTTCGGTACAGCCGCCGCGCTCGCAGCAGCCACGGGCTTTATAGGCGTCGCAGGAGCTTCCTGAGGGGTTGCGGAAACGGGACCACCCAAGATAGGGGCGGTAGAAGTGCGCTTTCCCATGCTGAGAATCGCGGGGTCGACAAATGGCGCAGCTTGAGCTGGCTGAGGAGCGGTCTGGCGTGGCGCATGACGAGCATTCTGGTAGGCAGGTGCGCCTGCAGGCGGGATCCCGGACGGCTGGCTAACAAGATGCGGAACTTGTTGGCCCATATGCTGCGACTGGCGAGGGGCATGGTTCGGAGGGTACTGCGAGTGTGAGTATGCCTGCGGGCCTGATCGCGTGGGGAGAGGTTGGGGAGGAGCGGGCGCCGACGGATTGACCTTGATGTCTGCAATCATTTGTCCCTCTACCGTGTAGGAAGCGACACGGTGACCGGAGTTGGGGAAGAAGACTGCAGACGTCAGCGTATGCCCATATTCATGAATTCTGGCTGCGGTGTACCATCTTGGAGAACGAGTGTAGCTGTCTGCTGGTCCACGGCGCTGACCACGCCCACGACGACAGCACCTGGGGGAGATTGCAGCGTGACCGCGACCGACAATCCGACGAAAGCGCTCGCCATGTTTGCGGTAGATCGGACGTGTTGGAGGTGGAGCGGTGATCCCGAGTCCGTTGTAACCCCAACCTAACTATTTCGCGGGTCGTGCTTTCGCGCTAACGCAGTGGTCAGCCACAGTCTAGCCTCAACGGCCGTCTTCACATGCTCAGCATAAAAGGGACACCCGGTTACAAGTTGCGCCAAGGTATCCTGCACATGGAAGAAAACAAACAAAAGATAATAGGGGGTATAGACTACAAGAGCTTGAGATGCAGGATCTTTTGCAATGTGTAAGAGCAACCTAGACTTCTGGTTTATCTACTCTCTGTCATAGTACACAGACAGGCACGCGCGCAGCTTTCCCTTGAATGACGTACACACAAAAAGGAAGCAGAAAGAAGAATAACTCATGTTCATTACGCGTATTCATCTAACTAAGCCCGCCTCATCACCTAAAAGCAAATCAAAAAGTCCAGGGTATCCATACAATCGTTCCATGTCATCGCGGTCCATCAACCACGAGGCGCAAGTCGCGTGCGCCTCGACTGATAAACGCGACATTCTCAGCCCCGCATCAAACAAGCTCCCATGTGGCCACTGGGCCAAACATACACGAGTACGCCCTCTTGTTGTTCCAAGTAGCCAGGCTCAACCCACGTGCGTCCTTCTTATTAAATTCTGTCACGGCCACAATCGAGATCTTCTGGCCCGGCGCACCGAGGTCCATGCGCGGGAAGTCGAGCCACCAAGTGCGCCCGTCGGTATTCAACGGCTTGTAGTCTGGATTCCGGCCGTCCCTGCCGGCAACGCTTAGGAGCATAATGTAGGGCGGACCCTTTCCGTTGATCTGGGGATCCCAGTGCGGGCAGATGAATGACATTTGGAACCGGACCACTGCTGGTGCGTAGGGGTCGTTTACTTTGATCTTGGCTTGTGATGGTTCAAAGGTCTGCTCGCCGAAGCCGTGGAGCTTCATGCCATTGCCGCAGAGAAAGAGGCGCCCGCCCTCGTCATGCCGCATGAACTCTTCGTATGACATGATGCGTCCGTCGGTGCGGAACTGGTGAGAGGCTTCTCCGGGGTAGTGCTTCAGTCCGAATTCGTTGTTGTCCATGATGAAATGCTGCGGAGCGAAGGCTCGTACGTATCTAGTGCATGTTAGCCCTTGTCCGACGGGTGGTGAACTGCTAAAGAAGTATCATCTCGAAAAGCTTACCCTTCGCCCTTATTACGACACCCTAAGTGTCCAGCTCCCCAACAGGGATCAATGAGCTTCCATTCTCCGTTATCGATCTTGACAGCGTTCCAGGCATGTGTCGATTCATAAGGTGGTGTAGGTTGACCAGGCTCCAAAGGTGCGTGGCCGTAGCCCTTGCACGCACCGGAACATACCATAGCTTCCAACCCAGCTTTCAGAGCCAGAGCAGCGAACAGACCGGCATAACCTTCGCATACTGCCAGACCTGATGCAATTGTCTTTTCGGGTGTAGTAGGCATAACCGTGTTGTTGAAGAACGAGTGAGTATCGTAGTCGACGTTGTGATGAAGCCAAGTGAAGATCGCTCGAGCCTTGTCTGTAGGTGAGGGAAACTGTGAGCATAGTTGATGAGCAAGCCAGCCCACGTCTGAGTTGGGAAGTTGGGTACGAGGGAACTGCGCAGCGTGATTGTCTGGACCTGAGAAGTCCCGACACTTCAGGCAACTTGATGGAGCAGCACCTGGTTTCGGCTTGGAAGCCATGAGGGCGCTGAGGTTCGGTCTGGACGACATGGGAACAGGTGGTGGTGTACCAAGAGCCGGGGCTGAATCGGATGTGACTGCTGGTGGGCGAGTTGAAGGCACAGGTGGAGGTGTAGCGGCCTTGTTGTTGAAGCCCATGTCCAACGCTGATCGTCGCGGTGGCGGTGGTGCGATCAGTTTGTTTGTTCGAGAGGTGTCGTTTGAGGATTGCCTCTGTGGCAGCGCTGGCACAGGCTGAGGTGATCGCTCGCGAACGATGGACTGTCTAGGAGGTAGGGAGGGTCTTGCCGGTAGGTCTGCACAGCATCATGTTAGCAGTGCTCTCGATGTGTGCTTCCGACGTTAGTCTACTTACTGGGAGTCTTGAGCTGAGGGGGCAGTTCCCGAGGAGACACATAATCCCTCTTGCTCTTCATAGCATTCAGCGTCGCCTTGCTCTGTTTAGGGTCCTCGGGTGCTTTCTTCGCTGGCAGCGGTGGCAGCTTTGACGGGTCATAGATCGGAGCCCTGACTTGGTACACCGTGCCTGTACTTCCATTGCTATATCCTGAGCCATTCGTCTTCACTGAACCCAACGAGAGCGTTGATATGCCCGACGCGATTGTGGAAATTGACTCGTTTGACTCGCGCCTTCGCACGCTTGATTCGGATGCCTTACGCGGAGGCAGTGTTGGTGTTTGGCGAGGCGTGCTGGCATTGCGCGGAGGTGGACGAGGAGGCAGCGCGGGCGAAACTTTTGGTTTTTCGGATTCGTTCACTACTATGGGCTGGTTGCCGAGTTGTCGCGCGGAGGTGGGCGCATTGCTCAGGACTGGCGGGTTGTTGACTGTCTGGCGCGAGTAGGCGGGAGGGCGCGCGCTGGGCGGCGGCGGCGGTGGCTTCTTCTTTGCAGTCGAAGCATCGTAGGAGTAGGTCGGCTTGGCGCCCGGTGTAGGAGTGTGCACCTCCTCGAGGTTGAGCGCGGCAATCCTCGACTTGATCGACCCTTCAGCCATCACGGTCGCGTTCGGGTGATCTACGGTCTGTGTTTTAGGTGTGGCTGGTGCTCAGTGGAGTCAACAGGAGCAGCAATTGGTGGTGTCCGTCGACGTGCAATCTCTCATTGCATGGTGAGCAAGAGGCTACAGAGTGAGTGGGCAGAGTGAGTGAAGGGACGTGTAAGCTGTAAGTATGACGAGACGAGGCTTGTCCGCCCAACAAGAGGCACGCCTGACCGCAAGGGATAATTGCAGGCAGAAACGATGCACAGCCTCCGGGGCTGGCTGTCAGTTCGCGCTAGTCCCGAAGCTGCAACCCCACCTTTTTATCCCGTCCTGCCGACTTAAGCTTTCCCTCTCGTCTCAAAATAGCCCGGACCGATCCTCAAGGCTGACACTCTGGTGCTGGCTTAGTGGTAGATAGCTCATGGCCTTCCCAGACTATTGAATGACATCAACGTGCTTTGGTCGCCGCGACTGTCATCTGTCGTGGCACGAGGTTCGCATGACGTTTCAGAGCCTGCGCTTATGCTGTGTACCCCGGGTGCCCGTTACCAAATCCTCACCGGTGCATAGGGTCGTGCCGTACAGGTACATGCAGATGACATAAGTGGCCTTGACGACGATCCTTCTGGGTGCATGAATACCTTGACGTCTGTTGTTGGTACGAAGTCGTTAAATCCTGGGTATTTTACCTGATCGTATGGGGTAGTCATTTATTTCACGGCTGTATCACCACATGCAGCGACCGTCTGATTTTAGGATTTCTTTGTTGACTATTGCACACAAAATCGCTATTGTATCAAACAAGTCGTAAGTAGAACATATGGAGTCGCCAAAACAAGCACATAGACAACCCCTACACTCCATTCCCAATCCGCCCAAAATCTCTACCCAGCCTGTGCCGCCCATATCGCTGACCAGTCCCACCCAACTCTAACCGGGAACACCATAGCAATTTCAACTTGTGCTCACGCATCGCTGCGCAACGATAAGAATAGCGTGCGAAAAGACACTTTTACTCTTGTTGAAAGGAGAGGACGGGCAGTCGCTGAAGATACCACCCAATAATGCAATGCGAGGGATCGCTATTCAAAACGCCAGAGAAGAGTGTGAGTAAAGTGTGGTGAAGACTACCTTGTAGCGAGACGCATGATGCGAGTTGACGATGTGTAACCGCTACCTCTTGCGCTTCTTGCTCTTGTCCAGCGCTGTGCTCATGGAGTAAGCGTCTTGCATCGGCATGTGGTAGTCGTGCATTGGGGGAGGCGCCATGGAGGTCGCCGAGGAGACTGAGTTCTTCTTGACCGAGACCCCCATGTGGCGTCCATAGCGACCTTTCCTGCCGTTGCCTTCGTCTTCGCTGACACATCCGTCGGCACCGATGCCGGCGTCTTTGCAGCGCTGGCATGGTCGCTGACGGTCACAGCCCTTCTTGCTCTTGCGGCAGCGCTGGCAGCGTGGCTTACTCGAGAGATCCTCCTCATCGACGCCGAGCTGATGCTGGAAGTTCAGCGATGCGTTGGAAGCCTTGCGCGACTGAGAGGGAAGGGAAGACGGTGACATTGGGGCCTTGGTGGTGCCGTTGACCTTGGACTTGCTCTTTGAGGTGGCACGGGGCTTGCCGGACTTGCCAGACTTGCTCGATACGGAGCGAGCCTTGATGATACCGGCGTGCACGCGGTGGTTGTGTTCATCGGCAATCATCTCATCACTGGCACCCTTGAAGGAGCCATCTCGGTCGTCCTCATAGTCCTCGCCACTGCTCTCGGCTTCGTCGTAGACACGGGTGTGGTCGTTCATTGCACGAGCCATGTTGTACGGGAGAGGGGGGAGCTCACTCTCGTCGTCGCTACCATCTGCGCTCTCGTCACTTGAGGATGCCGCAGCCTTTCCGCTAAAGGCATCATCGAGCGTAGAGGTAGACGTGCGACCGTGGCCGGAGAAGTTGGAGGCATCACCCAAGCGCATGAGCTGACGAGCGACATCTTCATCAGAGATGACGCTGATACTCGCAAGAGTGGTGTCAGGGGTAGGAAGGACTCCACCGCTGCCGGAGTAGCGGTAGTGGGAGTGCTGAGCTGAGCCACGCGCGCGAGACTTGTATCCCTGAGCCTGGCTACTAGCCGCAGAGTATGGTGTGACTAGTCCTTGGAGATATGAACTGTCGCCCTGACCGTAGCTCTGTGGGGAGGGCAGCGGATGCGAGTATGAGAACGTCTGCTGGTTGGCAGAGTATGGCGAGCCAGCAGTATTTCCGCTGATACGTCGCTGGGGGGATACGGACGACTGTGAAGCATTCATGGGAACTTGAGGCGGTACGAACAGAGGCAGCTCCTAATGAAAGGAACGAGTGTCAGACTAATGCACGATACATGCCCACTGTAGGTACTTACCGAGCTGTCGAATTTGGCACGCTTTCGGCGGCCACCCTCGACAATGTTGTCAACGCTAATCTCAGCGCTCGCCAATGGCTCTTTCCTTGAGCGTCGCGAGCTGCTGACAGAGCCATGCTCGTCGTCGCTGTCGCTGTAGCCGTCGCCATTGGCGTCAGCGAAGCTTCCGTGCGAGCTGTTGCCGCGACTCTTTATAGACGGGCGCATGCGCTTGTTAATAGACGCGCTCCTCCGACCACGATGTGGGGAGTGGCTCTGGCGCGCATGGCGGGACCCCGCTCTCGAGCCTTGGTGATGCTGGATCGGCGGTAGCATCTGGAAGGCTTCATCGAGGTGGGGTCGAGCGCGACGGGGCGAGATGGTCTGCTGGCGCGGATCAGGAGAGAAGTCGTCTGCATCAAGAGTCTCTGGGGAGACTCGGACGTAGACGGTCATGCCATGTTCAAAGTTCTCGAAGCGCGCAATCAGCGTGTTGCCGTGGCGGTCCTCGAAGATGACGCCTCGACGCTCATACAGACCGTAGAAGTTCTTGACTGTTGTGATGATGGAGTCTGTGGTGTCGTGCGGGTATATGTCGACCCGCATGGGTAGCCGGGCCTTGTGTGCTGGCGACTGGGGGAGCAGCAGCTCGAAGCTGACGTGCTTCTTGGGCGTCTGCTTGGAGGGCGACAGGGAGTCGTGCGCCGAGCCGGTTTCGGTGCTCGGGTAGACGTCCATGATGCCAGAGTCTTCTCTCTGGGGCAGCATGTCGTAGCCAGACTCCATCTGCATGGCGTCGTGGTGTCGGCCCGCTAGGAGCTCTTCCACCTCAGGGCAGCGTTGTGCGCCCGCAGGCCGAGGTTCCGCAAGCATGTTGGAAACTTGCATGCCAATGTCTCTGATGTTGAGAGTGTATTCCAAAGCCTCTAAAACGAGCTTGTGTATGTGTGTGTGGTTGGGCGGCGCACCGATCCTGCCGGTGTCGCAAGGGCTTGGACGGACGGCGGTCGGGGAAGGATAAACGGGCGTCGAGTCTGGGAGGTGACATGTTAGCAGATGGTCGCTGATGAGGTTTGATGGCCTTCCGAGTGCTTCTCGCGTTGTTCTGCGCAGCCTGTGCTGGGCTGGAGGCGGTTGGGGGCTCGTCACCGCTGGCCAGTTGCGGACTACAGGGAGAAGGTGACGACAGCGCGGAACCCCCAGGGGGCGGCGTCGCAGTCACCTGTCGGGCCCAAGCCGGTCGCAAAGGCCTATGGAGAGATGTACTTACCAACAGATATGTCTAGAGCGCTGGATGGGCTGTGGATGCTTCGATCCGGTTGCGTGAGTGTACCGCCGCTGGCTGCGCACGTCAGGTTAGCGACCGGAATGCGCAGGGCAGGATTGACTCTATCTGAGCGCCAGAGTGCGATCTCAGACGGGCCACAGGCTTGATGGAAAGGGTTGAGGCTTACAGAGAAGAGGTGGTGTGGGACGGAGGAGAATGGTGTGGAGGGTGGGTTGCAGATGGGAGATGTTCGCAAGCGAACAATAGAGACACCGACTAATGACCACTCCAGGTCACGACGTACTTTCCGAATACGCCTCAAACCAAATAGCGGTCGCCTTTACATACACTTCCAGAATCTGCCATGTAAATTTATACTATCAAAACGGTTTAAACAGTACAGCGCATCCTCCCCGCTGCACATATGCGATTGCGCCTCCATTGGTAACTAGTATATACACTACTACACGAAACAGCCCACCTCAGTCCCTCAGTCACGCAAAAGGACGAAGAGTGCATAGCAGCTGAGCAAGTCCCCAGCTTTCGTCCCATCTGGTGTGCCTGTCTTTGAGGTCGAAACATGGGACAACTCGGCGGCAGCTATGCGCCCAATGGTAGAGGGGGACTAGAATGCATGCCACAGGACAACTCAATCGCTTGTTGACTATACCTGCGCAAGAGAGCCGATCTCAACAAGGTCAAACATGACCAATGGGCGGATACGCGGCGTGCTGGTCGAGATGCGTACGTTCCGTGCGAATATGGACAGGACGACCTTTAGCACCCTGATATCCCGATGCGCCATCTCGAGCACATAGAGTACTCGAATACTACACTCCGGGTCGCCTTCACACAGAATTCTAGTCAGAGGGCTAAGGAAGCTTCCGGTCCCGAAAGTGGGTGAAGCGCTGTGGATTCGTTGGCAAATGGTGCCGGGCGTCTATTGGAGAGATCTCCGTGTGACACTCAATGCCACACGCCTGCTTCCGTAGTTCCCCTTTGCAGACAACCGTCCCTGAATGAGTCGCCACAGGATTCCCTAGAGGCTCGTGCTACTTATGAATTACGCGACCAAGGAATTATGTCTACATGTGCTCCCGCAATCGTCTGATGATCTCGGACCCACACTTTCATGACGATGGTAGCGCAAGCGCAGGAATCAAGCCGCGGATAGTCTACACACCCGCTGTGGTGTGGAAGCCATGCTTTGACCGGATTATCGCCGTTTGTTATCTTGCTGCTCAGATTCCGACCCTGCATGTGCGCGAGCGGATCATGGCGAGGGTACATATGTAGCGCGGCATGCGACTTCGCAAATCCGTGGCGTGAAGCTCGGACAACCACTCTAAGTGATGAGGGGTCGATTAAGAAGTCTGAACAGCATGTCTCCCGCACTTTGCGCAAACACGTTTCAGAAGGGATCCCGGTCGCGGACCATTTCGAAAGACGTTGTGCGCATTTTTGGCTCCATGCGATCTCGCTACGGATGGGATCGGTCCACACAGTCAGTCGGCGGTGAGCTTCTCGGCCTATACAGCCCGCGGGGACAAAGCAAAGGAAAGACGCGATAACGGCGCCAGTTTCAGGCCTTTCAACGTTCCCCAGACGCATTACCTTCTTCCAGGCTGCCTGGGACAACGCCGGCGCAACAAAGGCAAGCGCAGGCTGCCGTTTGATATCTGGTGGCAGTGCGCTGATCGACTGGGTGTGGGCGCCCGACGGCGGGTCGTGTTTACGAGTTCCAGACCACCCTTCTGATCGCGACCACAATTGAGGCCATCCAAAGCACCTGGAGTATGACGAGATGGGTTGTTATGGCAATAGAGCGCATAAACAGGATGTTTACAACAGGGTCGCAGAATGATGGCCGTCACGTGATTCCGCGATTCTAGCTGACTTAATCCACCATCAGCGCGTCTTTTGGCGGGGTACGTGTATATCTGCAGTCAGGTGTCTGAAAACCCTGAAAGTGTCAGAATACACTCTCGGTAGCACTTGGATACTGTGCGAAAGTTTATAGAGCGGGAGATTCGCAATGTGCGGAAGCGCAATCTAAGGACGTCTTTTGTAATGGTGTTGGAGTTCGCGTTTGCCTCGGCGAGATGACGTGCCTGTCAGCACCGGAAGCATATCGGGAAGGTGCGGCCCGTGCATCATCACTAGGGCCGCTCGGGGATAGTGTCCAGTAAATAAACAACATTGCCCATCCAAACGCGCATAGCTCCAAGCTCCCATATAAGTTTACAAGCTCTTGTTGTCGTCAACACCACTCCTCGTGCCATTCGACAACGTCGACCCGTCTATTTCATTGTCGCCAACTTAGATGGAGAGTTTCTTTATATCGGCCACTGTTTTGTAGCGCTCCACCTCCGCTGCCCCTATCGTCCACTTCGCAACCGTCGCTGTCAACACAACATACATTCCAAGACTATTGTCTTTAATCGACAGACCAGAACATAATGGACGCAAAGGTAAGACTGCTCTCTCTTCGTTTACTCTCACTTTGGCGGCATGGCGGTGCGTGGACGCGTTCCGAGGCTGGCGACTTCATCGCCAGTCTTTTCATGGTCACCCACACAATCTTCCTTTCACAGCCGCTGACAGACTTTTCCACAGCCTCAACGTCCTGCGCGGGCTCTCCGAGTACGCGACGAGAACGCGCCGCCCCAATTACCTGCCGGCAAGACTCTGCATTCGCGCAATAAGTCAACACCAGCGCTGTCCACACTGATGCAGGTCGGCGGCATCAAGGCGGCCGCAGCCAAGCGGACCGTGTTTGGAGACGTCAGCAACACGCGGCAACCCATAACAAAGGACGACATGCAGGTCAATGGGAAGAAGAAGGGTCTTGAGGTGCTCAAGGACAACTCTGCCGTCACGGTCAAGGAGATCACCACAAAGGCTGGCGCGTTAGCACGACCAGCGCAACGCCCTCTGGCAAACGTCACAGCCAAGGCGAACGCGTCAATAGAGGCAAGCGACGTCGCGTCTGCTGTTACCAAATCTATCACCGTCAACGCCAGCCAGCCGGCCGCCGAAGTCCGCAAGGTCATCACCAAGAAGTCCTCCACAGCCGTCTTCAAGGAGCCACAATCAGAACCCCTTAACGACACAACAACTCTCGTAGATGTACCAGCTCGCCAACCTCTCCCTACCCAGCCATCTTCATTTCCCAACGTGGACCGTGCCTCCGCACAGTCCCAGCAACCAACGACCATCCCTGAAGAGGAAGAGAAAGCCGAGTCAAAAAATGGGGCGGACGACAGGTACGAATACCTAGATGCTCTCGAGGAGCAGGCGCGCGTCCTAGAGCAGGAGCGCAATGAGGAACTTGCCAAGGTCAACGGCCTGAACGGTCTCGACCAAGAAGAGTACTGGGACGAGGAGGAAGACGAAGAGTACTACGATGCCGACGGCTACACTACTGCCCGGTCTCTGCGATCGCGCGGCGACAACACAACTGGCGGTGTCACCCTTGTCCTTGCGCCTAGGATCACTGCAAAGACACAACGCGAACTTGAGGCTGCTCGGATCTTCGTCGAAGCGAATCGGAGTGCCGAAGACGTGGAGGATGAGCAGTGGGATACATCCATGGTCGCTGAATACGGCGACGAGATTTTCGAGTACATGCACGCCCTTGAAGAGCGCATGAAGCCCAACGCTTCTTACATGGACCACCAGGCCGAGATCCAATGGTCGATGCGATCCGTCTTGATGGACTGGCTCGTTCAGGTTCACAACCGCTTTACCCTTCTGCCCGAGACTCTTTTCCTCGCCGTCAACTACGTCGATCGTTTCCTCTCGTGCAAGGTCGTTTCACTTGGCAAGCTTCAGCTGGTCGGCGCCACCGCGCTGTTCGTCGCTGCAAAGTACGAGGAGATCAACTGCCCGTCAGTACAAGAGATCGTATACATGGTCGACGGTGCCTACACTGCCGATGAGGTCCTGAAGGCTGAGCGCTTCATGCTCAGCATGCTTCAGTTCGAGCTGGGTTGGCCTGGCCCAATGAGCTTCCTTCGCCGTATCAGCAAAGCAGATGACTACGACCTGGAGACTCGTACCCTATCCAAGTACTTCTTGGAGATCACCGTCATGGATGAGCGCTTCGTGGGTTGCGCTCCTAGCTTCCTGTCGGCCGGTGCTCACTGCCTCGCCCGCTTCATGCTGAAGAAGGGTGACTGGGTAAGCTTGCATCCATGCACTATATCAGACCATGCTAACATCCCCTAGTCGCAAGCACACGTACATTACTCCGGGTACACACTGACCCAACTGCGACACCTCATCTCCGTCATCCTCGAGTGCTGCGACAACCCACAAAAGCATCACGCGGCTGTGTACGAGAAGTACACCGACAAGCGCTATAAGCGTGCTTCCATATTCGTCGAGGCAGAGGTCTCAAAGGGCTTCTCGCTGCCATTTGTGTCTAGGGACAGCCTTGCCAGCCAAACTTGGAGGCGAAAGTGAATACACTTGTCTCCACATGGCTCTGACTTGACTGTGTTCTAACGTGGCTCAGGGCTCGTGTGATCGCGCATCTCTCCGAGGGCATCCACCAGCACCCACCCGTCAAGAGCCAGGCAGTACAAGTCAACCGGTCTGCTACAACTCAGCATCAGCACCAACATGGTCACCATCGAAATCTTCTCCATTCTTGCTTATTGTTCACGGATACTCGGCGCTTTGGCGGCTTCTTGGAACAGGGTCAACACCAGCAATCTTCCCAGTCTACATTAGTCCAACCTTCGTTCGGACACCCGGTGCATGGAGTTTATGGTTATCCGGCCTGAGTCTTTTCGTTCCCTCCGTCACTGGTTCTTACTCTCTCGTCACCGTCACCCATACCCTGGCAGATGGCAAACTTCCCTTCGACTGTATCTACTTGCTTTGGAAAGCGCTTCCGGCCGTATCACGACGAAACGAGGTCATGAACACCCACTCCCATTAGTCTAATTCTCCAACTCACGCGGTATTCTCCTTCTGGTGGCCGTCTTTTTTCCCTTTTCTCCTTTTGTCACTCCTCTTGGGTCGGGTTTCAGCGATCGGCGATTCTTCGACGCACAGGAGTTACATGGACACCGCACTATGTGCGTATGGGGTTTCTCTATCTGCGTTACGCGTGGCACAATGAAGCTCTTAGTTTGGGCTTTCCAGTAGAGTCAAGAGAAGCGCTTAATACTGGCATCTTCAACAACGTTGACCTTGAGTGATTGTGCGAACACCTTGCAGTGAGCGAACTCGATTGTGGATGTGCATGTACTTCTGGCCTAGGTTTGAGACTTCATATGGGTTTCCATTGTACTTGATGATGTTTGCTTGTTTGGTGGGCATCATCTCATGGTCGTTGAGAGAGGTTCAGATGACACGTCCATGCCTGTGCTGAACGCCCGAAACCTCCATATACACGTTTGCTATCCTCCACCTCAAGTGTGCCCCAGCGAATGCCCCCCACCATCCAAGCATTCGGGTATCTCAATCGTGACTGCTTCGTTTCGTGCCGTCGTTGCCCTTTTCACCTCAGCAACCCATTTGCGCCCTTGCTATGTCGAAATTCGATTCGTGCGAGAAACCGTGAAATGCTGATCATTGCGTTGCTTCCGCTGCCGGTGCAATCAAGACTACCGAGTCACCTGGCATACCGTCAGCTTCACGTCATCTAAAAAGTCATGTACGTCTCTCACCTCTGACGAAGAGCATCTCGCTCTGCTTCTTGACTGTCCGCACACGAGGCTCCTGGTCCTCGTCTTCCTCCTCCGCAATGTATATGGTTTCTTCGACGTCTCCGAGGACGAGGTTGCAATGCGAGTCGTATGCCTAGACATGCTGTTAGCTATGCATGTACATATATACAAGCTGCTGCATCGCGACTCACGTGTAGTCTGCCCTTGAGTTCGCGGTCGCCGCGCAATTTGACAATGACGACTTCGTCAATGCAGAGGCGCACAAGGTCGAGGGGCTCGTTGGTCTCTTCTTTCTCGTCCATGGCGGGCAATGTGTCTGTCGTGGATGCGATTCGTCGTGTGAGAGCTACAAGGCGCCTCCGCGGTGAACTTTGGCAGGAGCGATCGTCTTGGCGGAAGCGGGGACTAGCGTGCACGCGAATCTAGTGGTGGGCTGGTAGGCATTGCGTCAGGGCCCAGCCCCAATCCAACATTTCTAGGTACATTCACCCTCAACATCCCAGTTTCCACCGCCGCCCTACTCTCGATCACTTTCTGTTCGCTTCGACTTTACTTGCCATCCAGTATACGCAGCTCGGACACACAAGCAAGAGCACGAGTCATGGCCGAGATCCAGGTTCCTGCCCAGAAGGACGAGCATCCGCTTCTAGCCTCACGTCCGCCGGTTACCGATCCCATCACCTATCTTACTATTATTGAATACAACTTGTCCGAGGAGAACTTGCCGGTCCTACACGAGGTTCTTCAAGATGCAGAGCTTACTGCGACTATCGGCTGGGATTTGATACATCTGCTCCTTCCGATGCTCCCGCTATCGGAAGATTGTTTGCAAGACATCGCCGCCAAGGGTAACCCACGAGAGTGTGTTTTGAAAGTGACAGAAGCGCTGCGGCTACTGGAATTTGAAGAACCACACGATCACACCGACGACGAAGAAGATGATGCAGACCCCAGCGGAAGCAAGAAAGCGGCAGAAGTCGGAATGGGCGAATCGAGCACAAGTCCTGCGTTCCAACCAGCCGTAGTCCCGCCACTTCCTGTACTAAAGTTCGAGGTCCTCTTGACTATACTTGCAACGCTACATCGACGGGTCAAGACAAAATATCCAAGCCGGTTCCTCTCTACCAGTCTGCAGGCTGCACTGCTCGCATACAACAGGGCCAACACGCACATTGAAGACCTCACCCTATCTGCTGTCAAGTTTGTCAAGACGCTTTCCGGCACTAAGAGGCCGCATTTGCCATCGAGACGAAGCAGCGGAAATCTGCTACGTGTAAACACCAATCAGTCGGAGCCAGATCTGGAGGCACAGAGCGACGCGCCGAGCAATGAGGAGAACGATCTTGTCAATCGCCTACTCCAGTCATTCCTCACGCATATCCTCGAGGATTACGTCTTGTCACTGACATCAGACGACGACGTTCCAGGCCTGGCGTGGGCAAGCAGACTGATGGAGCGGTACGAGCCCCAGCGGATACCGAACAAGCCCAACTACAAGAAATATGCGGATAGGTTCGCAGAAGAAGAGGATCTGACCTCTAGGGTTGCGATTCTTGGACAGGTTGTAGCCTTGACTCAGGATCTTGGGTTGAAGTATAAGGAGCTTCTTCGGACTGTGATGGATACGGAGGATGAGAAGCGAGGTATTCCAGGAACAGAAGATGAGCCACCAGCCACGGCTGCCGATATACCGCTCTCACGAACAGGCGCTCTTCTACTTATCGCTGCGCAAAACGTCAAACAGGAACTGTATGCTTCAGCCAAGCAAGACGAGTCATCGTCAATTGCCATTTTCCCAGGACACGCCACGATACTCAGCAACTTCATTGGAACTCTCGGGCAACAGACCGTCGGTATGGAGCCTGAAGCACTGCTCGACACAGTTCTTACATTTGGTCTCATCGCACTCGAAAAGAACAACATCGGCGAGCCCAAAGACGACGAGTCATTCGCCCAATACCTGCAAACAATCTCGCTCATCTCCGCAAACTCGCCGTCCCCGAGCCTACGCGGCCATGCGCATTACCTCACTACAACAGTCTTGCGCTCACATCCCCACGATCTCGTTCGCTTAACCTTCATCCGTGATACGCTAGAGCACTGTCCGTACGAGAACCTCAAAGCAAGCGCAGTATCGTGGCTCAAAGGCGAGACCCTCGAGGCCAACGCGCCGCGTCCTCAATCCGCAGACGACGAGCACGAAGAAACCAACATCTTCGCCACGCCAGTCGCTCTATCTACCGTCGCGCCTTTCCTATGGCCTGATCTGACCAAGCAATATGCTACCGATGCAATCCTAGAAGAGTCATGGATGCAATTTCGCCAAGAACTTGGTTTCTACGTGGCGGCGCTCAACTTCTACTATCTGCTACTCCAGGCGAAGCATCTACATGAGACACTTGGTATCAAGGAGTTGAACAGCAATCATAGCATCCAGTCGCATTATCTTGACGTGCTGAAGCAGACTGCTGCGCGGTTCCAGAAGGAGCTGTCATCGGGTGGTGGCGCACTTGTTGTTGAGGGTGAAGAGGCGCTGGAGCAGGCCAAGGCTGATGTTGGGTTACTGGAGAAGGTCATCGAGTGGGTTGAGGGCGGGTTGAAGAAATTGTAGATAGGGTGACTATATGTGTCATGAATGACGTGCTTCAGACGGTATTTGCATGGAATACAATCACATTTGCGAAGAAGACCTCAATATTCACGATGAAATTAATATGCTCAGAACATACCCCCATTCATCCCTCCAAATCCCGCACCACCACCATACGATCCTCCCTGTGGAACCCATCCCCCGAAATTATCCGCCGTCATATCATTCCACAGATACAAATCGCCGTTTTGAAACGCCGCGGAGAAGTCGCCCATATCCGTGGTGAAAGCCGTTTGATCGCTGATCGGCTGCGGGTCAATGGCCATGTCATTCGCATTCCATGGTGTAGGTGTAGGGTACGCGTTACCCAATGTAAACGACGATGTCGGTAGAGAAGGAGGAGCGGGCTGATGTTGTTGCTGCTGCTGAGCCGCAACCTGAGCTGGATCGATAGCAGACGCAGACGCCGCCGCAGAAGTAGCCGCGACCTGCACATTCTGCTCTGCAAACGCAGGAGTCTGATTCCCGCTTGTTGTCTTCATCTCATCTCCACCCACCATCTTCTTCCTCCTCTTAAGATGCCTCCCCTCCTTCCTCCAAACCACATATTCATCCCACCAACTCTTCAACTTCTCATGCAGCAGAAAGTTCCAATGACTCGGCACCCTGACTCTACACTCCTGCGGTCCACCCGCCTCATTCGTCTTATCCAGCACAGTGTCGAGGTAATAACTCACTTTCAGGCTCTGGCTTTCGAGTAGTTCGCCCATTTCCGCGTCGGTGCCAACGGCGTATTCTGCTTTCATGAGGGTAACGAGGGAGTAGACGGCGCGGACGTAGAGGGCGTTGGGCGATTTGCGCAGTTTGTCGACGGGAACGGCGATGAAGAAGTCGAGGATGGTGTGGGCGGCGGAAATGCATTTTGTGGTTGCGTTGATTTGGAGGGCGGAGCGCGAGAGGAGGGATTCGGGTTGCACGCAGTCGTCGTCGAGGGCGGGGAGGGTGATGTGGCGGTTGCGGAATTCGATGACTGGGTTGTGTTAGATGGGGTGGATGTGATGTGCGTGGTTTGACTTACCGTCGTAGCGACCTCCGTCCATGCCGAATTCCCACATGGATAACATGTCGGAGTAGTACTCTATCTGTAAGTTCAGCGTCATAACGTCGTCTGGAATCCCTTTCCTCCAGTCTTGCATCCGCCGATCGAAGATTCGTAGTATAATTTGCATGCGTAACTCTGAGAGACTGAAGCTTGTGCTAGCATCGTCGAAGCCAAAAGCCGTATTTGCCTCGTCGGCTATCCTCTGAAGCTTCAACCACGCCACTATCCTCTTATCGTCCAAGAGTTTCGACTTTTCCAGTATGTTGAAGCACTCTTCCATCCAACTGTTGAACAGCAGTATGTTGGGGCGTTTCAGCCTCATCGAGAAGCCTGCGCTGATAATGTAGAGTAGTAAGATAGTGCGGCAGTGCTCGAGCAACTCCTCGGGCGAGGAAATCTTCTGGAGCGATCGAATCGCACGTTTGGGGAGTTGCTCATGCGTTCTGGGTTTGGATGTCAAGCCCAACTCCAGAGCCATCGATGCGGCCATGTTGACCCACTGATAGATCTGCAGCTGACCTGGTGTTTTCGATGGTGAATAGTATGTGACTGTAACGATGAGCGCCTGAATAGCTTGAACCGACTTCTCGCCTTTGATGAAGGCGGAACGTGCGTAGAGAAGGACGGTTTCTTCATGTAGTCTGTCAGAGAGGGCAGAACCTTTCGAGTGCGCAGCCGCAGCCATGATTGCGTGGAAGAGCGCAGGCTTGTTTGCTCGGAGATCGAACACGTCCCATTGTTTGGGTATTGTGATGCCTGGACACGCAGCGACGAGCTCGGTGCGCCATATGCTCAGGAGCTCGACTGCTAGATCTTCCGAGATGACACCACGATCTATAATGTCGTTATCAGAAGACCCCAGGAAGTCTGTCGGCGCGCCAGTAGGGGTGGAGTCGACTGTGGGTACTTTGTTGATTGGTGCTGTGACCATTGACGCTGATGTTGTAACACTCGGGCGACTTGACACGCTAGGAGGCGTCTCCTTCTTTCTCACATGGCCTTGATCATCCGAGTCCTCATCGCCGGATTCCTGTTCGCTAACATCGTTCGATGATCTGGCGTTGGTCTTCAGAAGACTTCGCATCTGCTGTATCTCTTTCTCTAACTCCGTGACTCGCACGTCTGTTCTCTTTCTCTGCCTTCTCTTGGCCGGCGGCGCGAAAACACATGTTCTGTTCGCCTTGGCGCATCGCTGGCACTGCGTCGAGCTTGTGTCCGGGTTCGTAAGACATCGGACTTTGGAAATGCGACATGCTTCACAAGCGCGGTTTAATGGCTGGTCTTGAGACTTCCGGGGCTGTTCCGCGTCTGGGCTGTTGACAAGTTGGTTGTTCATGGTCCAGAGCGTCTGTGACTTGGTGTCATCTCCAAGGCCCGACATTCTGGTTGACGTCGGCAAATCTGCCGCTTGTAGTAGGATGGTATATTCGAATGACTGTCGTCTTGAAATGCGCACGCATAACGTCTTTGATCCGAATTCGACGTTGCTAACTGCGCAATTCCATGTTTGTAATCAATGGAAGATCGACTAGCGCATGCAATAGCCGGTAGATCCTGTGAGGGCCTGTCGGAGACACGCGCTGGAGTGGAGAATGACGGTCGCTGATTATGTGCGACAAACTTTGAGTACTCGGTCCGCTGGTGTCAGTAAAGTCGATGTATGACGAACGTGGATGCCTGGGAAGCCGTTGATCGAAGGTCGCGCGACAGGGTCTGACACGCGAAACACCAATCAGGCAAACCTGTGGGTCTAGTGGGTGACTTGTGGCTAAATATTGAGCCCGCAATGCGCGACACACGATCTCCGCTCTAGCGTCTCGGAGCAATCCCTAGGAAACTTGCTGTCCGTACCTTTGGACTGTTCCAAGGTTGTATCGAAAGACTACACTCTGTATACGGCTGTCGCACGAGAGTCTGCAAGCACCCAAGGCATCTATGACACTGCGAAATGAGCTGGAAGTACCTATGAATACACTGCATACGCGTTCAGGCACCCCAATACTTGTCGCATGGATCGGAATATTGGTCAATTAAACGGTGCCTCGTGACGACATCGCATGCCATTCACAGCAAAGCAATACGACAGAGACATGCCGGGCGACCATCAAACCCGTCAATACAGCACCAGAGTATTATCTCGAAGAAGCAGTTCATAGCAGCCGGGGTTGAGAGTCCTGAGCTGTGGAGAGAATCGCGCCCCGCGTATTTGGCTAAGGCGCCCCATGCCTTCCAAGGTTACCCGACGGCAAACCTTCGTCAGCGTAGGGCGCGACTAGCGCCTTGGGTGTATAGTAATTCAGATCACAAAACTTACTGTTGAGCTCTCCTCACTTCTCAAAACGATATAGTTGTTCATACGATTCATTTAACATAATAGTCGCTACAAACATGTCCTTTCTATACACCGACTTCGACAAGGCAAAGACATCACCCAAGCGAATACCACCGCCACCCATCTAGCAAAGCCAGAACCAGAACTTCTCAAGCGCATTGCGCGGGATCTGCTCAGGCCAAACCTCCGCATCAAGCGCCGCCTTGCCGCTCCAGATATCTGCCTCGGCCGGGTTGACCATCTTGGTCCGCTTGAAGATCTTCCAGAAAGCATAGAGGAGACCGAAGATGGCAACGCCGATGTAGGCAGTGAAGAAGCTGGTCAGCTCATCGGGTCCCCAAGGAGTGGTTGTGAAGACCTTGAAGCCATTGAAGAGGATAATGAGAGCGAAGTAAGCGAAGGCAGTCCAGGCAACGTATGGCTGCCACTTGCTAGCGAACACCATGGTGCTGCGGTCAACGTTCTGGGCGATGCATGCCGCACGGAACCGGGTGTATGTGTAGGTGATGGTGCACCAAGTAAAGAGCGACGCGATGGTGGTCAAGTTCTGGAACCATCCGAATACCTTGTTGGCGCCAGCACTGACGCTCATGTATGTGAGTAGCGAGATTGAGGCTGTGACTGCAACAGCGTAGACAGGGACACCCTTCTTGTTGCACCTGAGGAGGAACTGTGGGGCTTGGCCGTTCTGCGCGATACTGAAGAGATAGCGCGATCCGGTGTACAGGAAAGCGTTGCCAGATGAGGTTGCGGATGTCAAGATGACAGCGTTGACGATGTGGGGGAGGACGGGAATGCCTGCGTTCTTCATGGCGATGACCCAGGGGGATGACTGAGCACCCTTGGCGTTCTCGTCGGTGAGCTGAGGGTCGTTTGAGCTGATACAGGTACCGATGATGAACGATCCCAGGACGTAGAAGAACAGGATACGCCAGAAAACACGGCGAACGGCTTTGGGAACTAGAGAGGTACAAGGTCAGTGATCGTTATATGAAGAGTCAAGACAAGACGTTGCTTACTGTTCCTGCGGGGGTCGGCGGCTTCACCGGCAGCGACTGCAACCATCTCAACACCACCGTACGAGAACGCTGCGTTGACAAGGGTAGACCAGAGACCCGTGAAGCGACCCGTATTCCCAGTGCCCACGTACTCCTTCATCGCACCTTCCTTCCAATAGCGGAATCCTCGCCTGTCATGGTCAGGACCTCCACCGAGCATAATAACCAGACCGGCAAGAAGCAGTCCAATGATTGTTATGATCTTGATGGATGCGAAGATGAACTCGGCTTCTCCGTAAATCGAGACGGCGAAGATGTTCAGAAAGACGATGATGACGATGATGATGGAGATCCATATCGCAGGATTGTACCTAACTGGAGTCAGAACGTGTTGGAACTCGATTGGATCGTTATACTTACTTCTCTTCCTGGTCCCAGAAGTTGATCAAGAGAGCGGCAGCAGAGATCTCGGCGCAGAGTGTGATGGAGCTGTTGTACCAGTTGTTCCAACCGACGGCAAAACCAAGAGCGGGGTCCGCATAACGAGCAGCGTACTGCGGGATAGCACCGGGAAGCGGGAGCCATGTGGCCATCTCTCCAAGACACTGCATCATGCCGAAGACGGCGACACCCGTGATGGTATAACCAAGGAGGACAGAGACGGGACCGGCATTGGCGAAAGCACTGGCAATACCGAGGAACAGACCAGTACCGATGGTACCTCCGAGCGCAATGAACTGGATGTGGCGCGACTTGAGACCTCTCTGGACGTAGCCGTAGTCCTCGGCTTTCTGAGCGGAACCGTAGACACCAGCAGCCTCATTAAGGGCGTGGTCCTTGATGTCGTGGACATCGCCCACAGCATGATCAGAGGGACTCTCGCCAGCGACATACTGCTGCTTTTCGTAGTCGTTGACCGACATGTCGGGCGACGGGGAGACAAGAACACCAAGAGGTATACTCAGCGAAGTGGAAGACTGAGCCTGAGTCTACCAGGGATAAAGAACCCAGGAGAGTACAAGAAGGGTAGAGGCGCGAGAGAAGATAGCCTTGCAAGCCGGGTGAATGGGGGTACGAAACGGCCTTTATACCCACGCGCCTACGAGGGTTCCCTTCTCAACTTCGCAGCACCCTCGTCCCAGCACCCGGGAACCGCTCGCAAAAGCAGAGCATGGGCTGGACCCCAGCGGCGACTGATATTCTGCAGACTAGTCGCGGCGCAGCTCCGGTGTGGTCTGGAAAGCCTACTGGTCAATGGTGTGATTGGGAGCGAATGATACGATTAAGATGCAGACGGTGTCGCCGTTCGGTATGGGCTATGCCGCCTTGAATCGCCTTAACCTCGCCCGGGGCTGATAAGGATGGGATCGCTGTACTGGGGTAGACGTTGGAGTGACAAGCTTCGATACAAGCCTTGTCTACTCAAAGAGGGGTACAGCTTATGCACGGCATGCATGCCTGCTTGCTTGCGAATTATCGTACAACAACCAGCCTCTTCCCGTTGCTGTTCACACGTCGCAGATACTGTCCGTACACAGTGTTGTCAAGCAAACCTCTCGATACGTCGAGGCGCCTTCGACCAGCACGCGACCGCAGGATGGGGCGCCGGGCGTTCCAACTCGCTTAAGGTGCGATTTGGCATTGAGACAAGCCTCAATGGCGCTGAAGCAAGCAGCTATCGGGCGCCCTAGCCCGCGCTAAGCATTCTCGGCAGGTGGATCCAAGCTACAACCCATCAGAACAGTTTCCACTATCGTGGGCTTACTAGGGGTGATGCATCGGGAGTCGTGCGAATTGCACGCCTTTCTAGAACACATTCTAGCGCGCGGACCTACTGCGGTGGTATCGCTGTCACTACGCGTTCGCGCATTCCGTCTCGACTCCAGTGGGATTAGAAGCGCGAGATGGCTCTGGACCACGACTTTCGCGATGCGCTTCCACGAATGGCGGGAACAAGACGTGCGTTCTGTGCGAGAACGCCCCCGCCCCTCCCGCGCTGATGCGGTCACTGCACAGACAATTTGCGCAATCTACTCGGCCAGATGTGTCGCCAGACTGCGTGCAAGGGTTTGATTGGAGTCGTCAGCCTGCAGATAACCGTGGCGATTCGTATACTGGTTCCGACTGATGGCACAAGACTCTCGTTCCTCCAATGATATGCACCGATTTGGAAGCACGAAGACCGGAGTGCTCTGAGCTGACCCGAGCGTCATCCCATGCGGTCCTTTGGGTGTCTTTTGGGCAGGTGGGTGTACTCGAGGCGTGATACTTGCACATGTGACCATCTCGAGAGTCTAAGAGTTGTGTCCTCACAAGGCTTTGTGCACCGACAAGGCTGATAGCGGATCACAACATCCAATGGAAATGGTTTCTGAAATGTTTCAAGCGCGTAGACGCGGTCAGCATGCGCCCAGTTAAAGCCACCGGTACCTGGCTTATGCTTGCAGACTTGACTAGTTAAATTGAGGAGCCGCTGCCACCTCACACAAAGAAAAGCCGAACAGGTCTGCAGCTTACATCAGTCTGAAAGCATGGAAAGTAGTGAGCCCAACTTCAACGTAGGACCCGGGATTCAGTTTCTTCCTTGAATGAAGTGCTGCATTCATCGCACTGGCGCAAGACCGAAGAATTCGAGCTTATCAAAGGTTAGAGAATGCTCTTTTGTACCGTGTATCAAAAGTGCAAGTCTGCAATTCGTTGCTCGTTTTGAGGGTTCAGATGACTGTTACAAGTATCAGATTGTGGGTGTACAATTCCATGATATTTATACACACAGTATCAAAAACCGTCGACAAGGTATCCATCCATTCTCCTGACAATGTCCTTGTGCCGGGTACAGAGTCACAGACATTCCCTATGGCCCATCCCCACGCATAGCAGATGAAGGCATGTCGTTCTCGGAGTAGTTCGTTGTTTTGATCTGTCGGATATTCGTCGCATCGTCGTGAGTAGTCTTTGAGATGCCTTCGTGTGCAGCAAATATCCGCCGTAGTGTCGCAGCCGGCCACCACCCAAGCGCGTTACCCAGGTCCGATCTTGGGCATGTCGTGG